TAATAGCATTTATTCAAGTATTTTTCGTGCAGGTAACAAACTAGCAATCGTAAACGGCAAGTATCCACCGTTACCGCCCAATCCACGATACGCGTGTTTGCATGATCTGGTGAAAGGATGCTTACAAATCTCGCCCATACAAAGGTTAACAACAGCACAGCTCTTGGAACGTTTGGCAGCAATCGCAGAGTCGAACAATTTCGATCCCAGAGAACCGCCGCAGATCGAAGTCGCGATCAAGCCGTCACCACCTCCGCGACCAACGCCACCACCACCACCATCATCGTCGTCAAGTGTGCCAACGTCGGTCTCTCGTTCCACCGCGCCGGTAACGATGCCGCCGTCGAGACCGGCGCCCGTGCAGACGACGGTGTCCAAGGGCCCGGTGACTCAGAGCTCGACCGGCCTATTCAATTCGCTGAGGGGCGGCGCCGGCAGTATTCTGCGTAATTTGAAAGATACCTCCAGCAAAGTGATGCACACCGTTCAACAGAGTATGGCCAGGACAGAACTGGACGCGAGTTATCTGACGTCGCGCATACTCATTATGCCGTATCCGGCCGATGGGATTGAGTCTGCCTATAGGGCTAATCACGTTGAAGACGTGAGAGTATTTCTCAACACCAGACACCCACCGCCCGCCAAGATCCAGCTCTACAATTTATCCCGTGGCCGACCGAACGTTACGCGACTCCCCGGTAGGCACATCGATTGCTCGTTTGCCTACGCCACTCCGGAATCGAACGCACCCATGCTATTCGCTCTGTACCAGATCTGTCAAGATATCTATCAATATCTGAACGCTGACTTCAATCACGTGGTGGTGCTATACTGTACTGTGAGTATGTCGCAATTTAAATTAAACGCTTGCTAAACACAATAACGCGTTTATCCTACTGGTTTGTCTTTCCAGGACGGATATCGGGCGAGTGCCACAGTGGCATGCACTCTGTTGATCCATTGCAGAGCCTTGACCACTGTCGAAGAGGTGATCGATCTGTTCACAACGAGACGCCAGGTGCCGCGTTTGCATTCCTCCGAACTACGCAGTATTAATTACATGAGTATGCTCAGCAGCGGTCGGCCTCCGCATACGAAGCCGCTGGTTCTCCGTTCCGTTATCATACAGCCGGTGCCATTATTCACCAGAGCGAGAGATGGTTGTCGACCATATATAGAAATTTATAGTAATGGCGCATTGGTCTTTACGACGAAGAAGGCTAATTACGAAGAAATGAAGCTGTTTGGAATGATGGAGGGCAAGGTCTGCCTGATTCTAGGAGACGCGGCTGTACGCGGTGATGTCACTCTAGTGATATACCACGCCAGGCAGCAGCTCGGCCGTGTAATTGGTATTAAAATTGCCTCGCTACATTTCCATACTGGCTACGTGCCCATCACCGAGAGCGCCTTGACGTTTGATAAAATCGACCTGGACGATGCTCCCGAGATCGGCGGCAAGTTCCGCATTGTGCTGAATGTCATGATAGGCGAGGAAAATTCAAAACTGTCAAGGGTGCCGGCGCCGTGGGAAGCGGAAACATGTGTCAAGCTCGTACCGGATCCACTGTTTGGTTCGACATTGGAGATGGAAGAAACTCTGGAGTACTTCAGGACAGCTTCTCACCAGGAAGAGGTAGAATTTTTGTTATTGTTAGATATACATTATAATTATTCAGTTTTTTACATTGAAGAGTACAAAACATTGGAAAGTTGATGATAATCGGTAATAATTGACGTTATTGCAGGCTCAGAAAGTATCGTCGAGTGAAATCGACAAGATTTCACAACACGAAGCGGTGTCTCAACAACAGCCGGAACAGCCGAAGGAGGAAGAGCCAATCAAGATCGAAGAGAACAGCTTTCAGGAGGCTGATTTGTTGAATCTCGGCATGCCGGATAATACCAATAATACCTCAAATACTCCCGCCACCACGGCGGCAAATCCAGGATTAGATATATTTTCTAGTTCTAGTCAGAACGAAAGCGATCTCTTGGGTGGTTTCGGCGTGTCGGCGTCGCAGGCTGAGGCCGCCAATTCGATACCTTTAATTAACAATAACGCCTCGACTGACTTACTGTTCGGACACGACAATTCCGCGACGAGGAGCAGCAACACAACCAATTTGAACAACAGCAATTTGAACATGAATGATTTATTATTCGGACAGAATCAAACAACGTCAAGTAATGTTAAGGAAGTCAACGACCTGATGTTTGATCCACTAGGCGGGAACGTTTCAGGCAATCTTCTCAGCGGTATCGCGACAGGTACCGCGAACACCGCTAAGAGCCCAAATTCCGAAGAGAACTTTCCACGAAATGCCAGCGTGCCGAACTTCGCCGCTCAGGCTAACAAGGATCCATTCGCGAATCTGGCCGGATCATTGGGCGCTGGTCTGGCGGGCAGTTGGAACGGTACGCCGAGAAATTCGAATACCCCGCAGTCGGCAAGTCCAGCGCCTGCGAGCACGCCGATCCATTCCAGCCCGAACACGATGCACAAAACCAATGCGACGACCAACGAGGCCAACGGTGCAAACAGCGGCGCTTCGGACGTATTCAGTGGTAAAGCAAAGGAAAAGACGAGCGGCGATGCGTTTGAGGATCTGCTCGGTAGCCAGGGATATAATTTCTTCAGTTCGCGCAAGGCGGATAAAGATAGCCCGAAGACAATAAATCAGATGCGAAAGGTGGAAGCGGCCAAATCGATGGATCCCGATAGGTTAAAAATCGCTGAGTGGACGGAGGGCAAAAAAGGAAATTTGCGGGCCTTGCTCTGCTCCCTACATACGGTTCTATGGCCGGAGGCTGAGAGGTGGCAACGTTGTGAAATGCATCAATTGGTCACGGCTGCGGACGTCAAGAAAGCTTATAGAAAAGCTTGCTTGGCTGTACATCCAGACAAGGTATTTGAATTTTGTCAAATATCATTATTTACACAATCCTTTTTATTGTGCAAAAATATTCAATGTTTTTTATATTATTTGCAAAATAGTAACATCTTCTAATTTTCTAATAAATGTTATTAAGATAATTGATTGATAATAACAATAATATATATTTTGTATACTTAATTATTAATGTAATTACATTTTCTTTTTAACTTTGATGAAATTAAATAAAATATGAAACAATAGAAATAATTTTTATTTAATATTTTTTGAAATAGTACAATAAGCATGAATAAGCTGACAAAGAGAAAAATAAAAAATCAGTTACTCTAAATAATTATTTTAATAATTAAACATTAATTTTGTTAAAAATTAGTTTTTAATTCAAAAGAAAAAAAATTTAATGCGAATCTGTTTCTGTGTTGTAGCAAGCAGGTACAGCAAACGAGAATATAGCAAAGTTGATTTTCATGGAGCTGAACAATGCGTGGAGCACGTTCGAGAACGATGCATCGCAGCAAAATCTATTTAGCTAATTTTAATGATTGTTATCCGTTATTGAGAACCTGTCTCTGTAATTAATTTAGTTCCTAGCGGAAGGGGAGCTAAGAATGGGGCAGAAATCTCGTTATCCATGAGACGACTGCATCCATGTAACTGCATTCCGACTACGTTATTTTAGCTGTAGAGAGAAAGACAGGGTGCGAAAGAAAGAGAACGAGAGAGAAAATAAAGTCTTCAGAGGCGACAGCGAGTTCGGCGAAGCGGTGCTTCGGGACGCGTCTCCTTATTGTTTCAACGCCTTGTAAACCTAGTTAAAATGCTCCCAATTATGGCAGTGTGGCGTAACGTATATGTATATAACGCAAATGTACATTAAAAAGAGGATCCCAAATATACGAAGCTATTTTCCGGCCGAAAAGAACTTTGCACTATTGTCCACTGAAGATTCGAGGATTGCCGTAAAGGTATTCCGTACGTCACGATATTTATCATTATCTTAATTATGAAAAAAATTGCAATAACAAAAATTGTGCAATACTACTAAATTAATGTAATACGATATCTTTCTGTTATGAAATTTAGAAAATCATATACATGCGTAATTATTGCTATACAATTGTGCAATTTTATTTTTTCTACTAATTAGGACACGGAATACCATTACTGGTAAACAAGATATTAATAGAAAAAAATTTTTTAACGAAATAAGCTATTTTAGTACATTTAATTTAATTTTGTTAATAAAATTAAATAATTTTGTTAATAAATTATTTTGATTAATTTAATAATTCAATGGAAGCATGAAACATTATATAAAAGAAACTTAAGATTACAGTTGTTACAATTCATTTTCAAACTTTGATATGAATAATTTCAGTTTTTCTTCAATATACAGTGTCTCAATATTTTTTGGTTCAATTTTAACAGAGATTCTTTGACTAATTTAAAATAAAACTTTTCTCAAGTAAAATTTTGAAGATCATTGTTGCAGTTTTTTATCCTTTAGTAATTAAGTTTTGAATTAAAGGTTCCAAAAAGCAGTGTTTAGTTGAACTTAAATAATACGTTTAATAAGTGTATTCTATGTTACTTAATTATTTGAAAATGTAGTTTGAGAAAATTTTATATTTGTCCACAGATTTAAAATTGTGAGCAGACTAACAACGAAATAAAAACCGAATATTTCTTTATACAATCCTAAAGTTTCCAGTTGAACCCCTTAAGTCCTGATTTACATATTTTTATTTTTCAGTTCTTCCATCATCTACAATCATCATACTTTTATAACTCGAAATCATTATTTTCTTCATTTATATTACTCAAAAGAGAATTCAAGTTGTCCCAAGAGATATTACAAAATCAGGTCACAACTTGTGTGACATTTCGTATTAGGAAGAGCTCAAGAAATCCGTTCTTTTTTAATTCATAGGATACTGTGAGAGACATTTATAACGGGCGTCAGCAAAATCCACGAGTGTTAGTGGCATTGTCAGAGAGCCGCCGATACACGCAAGGACACACGTACACCAAGGGAGACAGGCGCAATACATGAGTATGCCACGAGCGCGCTCGTGTGGACCACAGGATGCCACAGGGGTGAAATTTAAAGGGAGGGGCTGCTCTCGCGAAAATGGCCGTTACACACGGGGTAGATCGTCCGGGGGTGGACAAGTGACGGGTGGCTCATCGTCCGTGTCCTCCGCACCGACCAATTGACCGAGTGCCTCGCGACGATTAACACGGTTTACCCGATCGACGGCTATTATGCGGCGGTGGCTAAAAAGCGATCCCTGCTCTGCTCTTCTTAAACCCCCACCAGACGCGCGACCTTCTATCCCTTCCGTCAAGAGGTAAGGTCGTCTCTGTTTTGTGCATTCTCGAAACGCGTACGGATTACAGTTCTTAGAATGTGATTTAGAATCTCTTCCCTTTGAAGTGTGTGTACGTTGTAACGCGAATCTATGTGCTTGTTGTGTCGAAAAAATTATTTCGACAAATGCAAAAAAGAAAGTGGAACAGGGTAACTACCCTTAGCAGGTGAAAGATACTGTTAGAAATCTTTTACTTATTAATTGTTGATATTAACAAATTATTGTTTAGCGTTTCCTTCGTAGTACATACAAAAATGGATTACTTTTTTAATATATATTTATAACAGTAAAAAATTAATAATTATAAGTATCTTGCGCTGAAAAAATTCTTCATGAAGTATAATTAAAAAATGATTTGAATTATACATCATGCACACATACGATAAAATTAGTGAAGTGCTAACAAATATTTGTTAATAGAAACTTATCTGCTTTATGTATTAATATATTAATGACACACATTTTAAAATAGTATTTTTAAATGAAAATATTTTTTTATACAGATTAGGCCCACGCTTCAGCAATGTACATCAAAAAAGCTAAATAGAAAAAGAGGAAGGGGAGCATAAGGAAAACTGAGGAAGATGCCTAGCTCCTATACTGGAGTTGTAATCCTCCTCTTGTTAGGGACTTCTGTGTCAGTATCCGGTACCGCGGATGCTGCCAAGTCTCTGAGAGCGGCAAAGGCTAGGCTCAGATCGTCTTACGCATCGTGGCGGATAGTGGTATGTTTAACTCAGCCTCAGACTCCTTTCAAGGCAGACGTACAGAAAGCATGGGAGGAAGCGAGACTGGAGTCTTTTCATGCGGACATGGATGTGTCATATATAGAAACAAGGATGACACCCATGACAGATTCCTTGTTATATCCCTTGTCAGTGTTAAACAAATTTTGTACAGACATCGAAGGCGGAAAGACAGTATTAAGCCTTATTATAGGGGGAGGATCGGCAGCCAGATTTCTCGTTACAGCTGCTGCCGCCTTGAACCTTCCAGCTCTGTGGTTACCGTTTACGCACAGAGACTTTCTTCGCCAGGTACACATTCACATTCACGCACTTTATCGCTTATATAATTACGACGTCTTACAATGTAACGATAAAAGCGATTACTTTTTGTTTACAGGGAAATCTTGGCCGGTTTGAGAACCGTATAGGTTCGAGTCCCAAAGAAGTCGGAGCAGCAGCTGCCGCTTTAATGCATCGGGCTAATTGGCATGCGTTTACTCTCCTCATTGATACTACCCTCCTACCCGTCACCCATCTTTTACAAACGAATCCACCAACGTTGACACCTCGTGCAATTATACACCTTCCGACAAACGACAGAACTCTAAGATTAAGGCTGAGGCGGGTAGCCGAAGAGAGTGGCAGTGGCGGAGTCGTAGTAATGGCCTGCGACCTGAACAACGCCCGGAAGATTCTTGGTGCAGCCGGCAAGTTCGAGATGCTCTCGGGCAGATTCTTGTGGCTCTGGCTAGATCTTAAGGCGGAACTGCGACCGAACGAGCCCAACATCATCAGTTCGCATCTTCTTCACAGTTCGCGTGTCGCCGTTGCAACCAACGAGAATTTACCGCTGTTGGAGCGAACGATAAATCTCGCGTTAGACGATAAGCGACTGCCCTCACTGAATCCGCTGCCGAGTCTGGCCAACGATATACATCGGTTGCAAGAGTATAGATGGCGAGATGAAAAGATCGTGACCAAGCGAGAGGATAAAAGCTTCAATTTTGAGGACGAAGAGGAGGTCGTGAGACTCCCAAGTGACAGGGAACTTAATTCCAAGAGTTTCATGCCGGTCGGTATGCTTGCGCTCAGACCGTCTGGTATCAAAATCATGGGCGGTGACACCATACTGACTAGAATGCTGAGAGAGACCTCGCAGGCTTTGGACGAGACTTTCTTGGAAACAAAGACGAGGCTGGGCCGTATGCGCGAAGCGCAGATCAAAGAACACTTTGTACCAGAATGCTACTCGGATCGTAATGCTAAATTCATGAAGAGCGACGCGCGAGAAAATGTATCTGCAATTTTGACGAGTAAGTTGAGGAAATCCATGGGACAAATCTCCAAGGACAAGGCAGAATTCCAATTGCTGAATTTGCAAGCCGTCAGGTTTCCCGGGAATAAGACTCAATTAAGGTTCAACTTGTTCTTAAGATATTTGTATCTATCGTTAGAAGATGGAATAATCAATGTCATCAATGTTTAACAGGTGGACTAAGGTCGGCACTATCAAGGGAGGCAGGGAAGTCCGTTTAGATACCATAATCTGGCCGGGTGGCGGCATCATGCCGGCGTATCTCGAACAGGGCGGCGAAAAGGTCGGGATGCCGATTTATAGTATCGTGACCGCGCAGGCATCACCGTTCACTATGATTACGAATTTACAAGAGGGTTTCTGTTTGCGCGGCCTCACCTGCCGGCAGGGTAAAACCGTGATGTGCTGTTACGGCCTGAGTATGGACCTGCTGTCTTTGGTGGCGCGCGAGCTTGGATTTCGTTTTAATCTATATCTAGCGGAGGACGGATTGTTTGGCAAACGGAACAACCGGAACGGCACATGGAACGGCGTGATGGGTGAGCTGGTGTCTGGTCGGGCACAGCTGGCGTTTGCGGCCTTGAGTGTATCTACCCATCGTGCCAAAGTAGTGGATTTCACCACGCCGTACTACTTCAGCGGCGTGAGTTTTCTCACGGCGCCGAAGCTACGTTCTGAGATACCGCTATTTGCGTTTCTGTTCCCGTTCAGCACGGAGCTGTGGATCGCCGTATTTACGTCGCTGAATCTCACTGCGATCGCCGTCGCTCTCTACGAATGGTTTAGCCCATTCGGCTTGAATCCCTGGGGCAGGCAGCGCAGCAAGAACTTCTCCATCGCCTCTGCGCTGTGGGTGATGTGGGGGCTTCTGTGCGGCCACCTCGTGGCCTTCAAGGCGCCAAAGTCTTGGCCTAACAAGTTCCTTATTAATATTTGGGGCGGCTTCTCCGTTATCTTTGTGGCCTCGTACACGGCTAATATAGCTGCCCTTATCGCCGGTCTCTTTTTTCATTCTGCAGTGAGCAATTATCATGATAAAAGCGTGAGTATCTTTATAAATTCACAAATGTTTATGAACGATAAGAATTAATGTGTAAGAAGTAAAAGGAAAAGAATTTCTGAGAAAATAATAACTATTTTCTGTAAATTATTTAATAATTGTTCACATAAAATTCACATTAAATATCAATATTATTTAATATATGTCTATATATAACGATTTTGAGGTTTAAATAGCAAAAGAAAATATTTATTTTGTTCTAGTTTTCGGTCGTGTGTATGGATTTAGATTTTTTAATATATTATATTACAGTTGTTGTCACAAAGAGTTGGTGCACCGAGAGCTTCCGCGGCCGAATATTACGTGCAGAAAGCGAATCCGGAATTATGGTCCCACATGGCTCGATATTCTTTGTCGAATGTCGCCGAAGGTGTGGAAAAATTGAGAAACGGCACCCTGGATATCTTAATCTCGGACACGCCGATTCTGGATTATTACCGGGAGACCGACAACGGTTGCCGCTTGCAGAAAATCGGCGATACTATCAACGAGGATACTTACGCAATCGCGCTTACGAGAGGACATCCCTTGAAAGAAAGCATATCTAAAGTTATAGCGAATTATACAAGCAACGGGTTGCTCGACATTTTGCAAGAAAAATGGTAAGCGATGCGCAAAAATAAGTGCAAAAATTGGATAATCGATATCGGTTCGCGTACGATTTTTCTTTTTATTTGCGCGATAACAAGAGCGTAATAATTACCTTAGACGAAAATACATTAGGTGATAAATAAAGTCCGACGCGCAGAATATTTGCGCTATGTGAGAAAAACATAAACATGTTATTTATCTCTTTAAAAACTCATTTTGCATTATAAATTTATTTATTAATTTTATATTTATTAGTTTGATATATTTTATATGTTTTTTTATATGTTTATAAAATTTTTATATGTTTATAACAATGAGATCGTCAGTATTAAAAAAAGGTATTAAAATCAGTGAAGTAAACATTTTATATAAAGCGAGCTAATTTCAGGTACGGCGATCTACCTTGTCTGAGCGGTCGAGCAGGAATGGACTTAGATTTTGATCCGGGTGGTCAACCCAGGCCACTGGGAGTTGCATCTGTAGCTGGAGTATTTTGCCTACTCGGGATGGGTGTGGTACTTGGATCCATTATATTAGCGGGAGAACATCTCTTCTACAAATACACGCTGCCGCGATTACGGCATAGACCGGAGGATTCCATCTGGCGTAGCCGCAACGTCATGTTCTTCTCGCAGAAGCTGTACAGGTTTATCAACTGCGTGGAGTTGGTCTCGCCGCATCATGCCGCTCGCGAATTGGTGCACACGGTGCGACAAGGCCAGATCGCATCGCTTTTCCAGAAGAGCGTTAAACGAGTGCGTATCCTCGATTTTTTAAACGACCCACAAGTTTGCGAATTAAATGTGATAATATAAAAATTGAAATCATATATTGAAAAACTTAGAGATATAGTTTTTTTTTTTATTTAAAAATTTACGTTTGCATACTTATGGATGGTACGCTTCTTTTAATTTTTAAATATTTACACTGTTTCCATGTTCCAGAAGGAACATGAACAACGTCGCAGACGTAAGAGCAAAGCACAGTTCTTTGAGATGATTCAGGAAATTCGAAGGTAAGGGAATACAATTTTTAAGCTTATCAAAAGAAACAATTTTTTTTCTTTGTTGATAAAGCCAACATTTTTTCATAATCACATCAGAATAGAACAATAGAAGAAAGTATCAGAGTGCAAGAAACTTCTGAATATTTAAATTTCTTTCAGAGTACAACAAGAAGAAAAGATCGAGACGGTACCTGAGGAGAACGATACCGCCAAGACTGCGAAAAAAGACGAGAAATTGGGAAAAGGTAGAGAGAGGAGTCGCAGCAAGAGTCCGTTGATGCCTCGAAGTCCTAAACGATCGGAGAAGAGTAGAAGCTCGACGAACTTGTCGGCATCTCGTCTAGGATTGTCGCCGGTGAGTCTCGACGCGCCGATGAAGCCGCGCGAGTTCACGCTCAGCAGCACTAATTTGCGCGCGAGGAGTCCACTAGAGACGGTAGGCCGTAGATTGAGCCACGGAGACGGCGGATCGCCGCCACCGCGTCTTGCTAGCTTCGGCGGCAGTGCGACTCTGCGTCCGTTAGCACCTACTAGAAGCGATTCGACCAGCGGTGGCACACCGACCATTCGTCGTGACTCTGCCGCTGGGGGCGGCGGCGTGCCAACGCCGAGATATCCTCGCAGTCCGGCCAAGCGAGGCCAGTCCTTCCCGGTATTCGCCACTTTGAGACCTCCACACTCGGCTGGCTACCAGTCCAGGAGCCCGCTATTGTCGCCGAACAGCGAACTCACATCCGCCATCGGGAGAAAATTATCGCGCGAGTGGGGCTCCGGGACTATTGACCTCACCAGGTCGTCGGAGGCTATAGGCAGCGGTAGTGGCGGCGGTGGAGGTGGTAGTCGTGGTTCAACGTATACCCTGAATCAGGAAATGACGCTTTCCTTGAGTCGTTCCGGCGAGGAGAAGACCCAGGAGGAAGCGTTGTCGATCAAGAAGCCCATACGACGCGCCAGGAGTCACGAGAATCGCGACAGTAGTAAGCTAATGGCAGATCTGCCGTCGCCGAGATTGACCCAGCCAGTGGTGGGCGGTCAGTTCGTGAGCGAGCGAACCAAGAAACAGCTGGATTCCGAGCTGAAGGCCATTCTAACTGCCAGGGCCCACCACCGCGACCTGCATCCTCCTTGATAGGAGACCGCCCCATATTAAGGGAGAGTTCTTGAAAGCAGTTCGGCTTTTGGAGGATTGCTGAGCCTTTGAGGGGCTTTGGTTGATTTTAAGCAATATCAGATTTATAGGTCAATTTGTTAGAGGAATCCGACAATTTATCAGAGAAATTAAGAACTAGCCACAGGCACGGCGATGCGAGTAAATGGGAAGAATTTTCTGCTGTTGAAGTGGAGGGGAGGGATGAGATAAAGAGGACGGAGAAAAGATCTCTTTGATTGTTCATACGTTGTTACGTACATTGATAATATAGGATAAACAAAAGTGCTATAAACTCTAGTAGTGATGTCTTAAATAGGTAGCGAGACACATACGAGTACTAAGATATTTTCTTGTTGACATTTTAACTCTACATTAACCGGCAGCCTGGGGTGAGTCTCTCTCGATTGCTATGGTACCAGATATTGTACGCTGCAGCGTTTCTCAACTCTGATCTTCGACGAATTCCGTCACGATCTTAGTACGTAGTGGGTAGAGCTCTTTCAAAAATTATCTCAAAACCAGTTTATGCAAAAAAAAAATGACATTCATCAGGTCAGGTCTGTCCAAGTTTATCGAGCGGGTCTCCATCCGCAACCATTCGCACCACTGACTCCCAGCGACGGCGATCGATTAGCCGTACACCAAGCGCACGAATACAACGAACACGATGATTTATGAATGCAGCATCGGGCATCTATTCCCATTTATTGTTTCTTTCTGGCGGTGACGATGGAGAGACGGGGGCATTTTGCTCGCGAATAAAAACTCGGACAGGCCATGCATACTAGGATAATTCGTCCCTTCGGGGAGTGTAAATATCTCGAGACATAGACTGTCGTTTCTTCGATCTCTCGTCTGTACTGAATATTGTAAATACGGCGGAACTCTTATTCCAGATACCTCGTCATAGGCAAGGCGTAACGCGTAGCGAAAGTTGAGAAACGCTGATCTACCGAACCTCGTCGAATTGGACTGCATACTGCCACTTTAATAATTTCTGTGACTGCGGAAGGAGAGAGACTCGCTCGATGGACTCTCGGCGTAGAATGACCACTTAACGCGAGATAATATGTATTAAATCTTACAATTATCACGCATAGGAAAGAAAGGATTTGGAGGTCTGACGGAATTCTAATCGAGTTAACGTATATATTCGCTGGTTATTTGATACCTGAAATCGGACAAATCGGACCCGGCAAGAGGACTGGGAGTGAATACCTAAACTAAGAAGGATTCTTTTTCGCAGCCACAACGTCGCGAATCCTTCGTGACATCGCAATTATCTCCTAAAGCAGTGCCAAACGTCAGTATTAACTTCGTGACTCAGTATTAACTTCGACTTTGTTTGCTTTAATCCGACATGAGAGATGTGTAATAGAATGTATATTTTAGCTAGATAAGCGCCGGGGTCCGGTATTATGCGATAACTTTGCTCGTTCGTTCGCTGTGCGACTTGGTAAATCTCTGACCTCGTGGTTGGCGAATTTATCGATTTCTTCCGACGGTTTTACTAGACTGATAGGCGAAATTTTATTCAGGAATTGTAAATGAAACATTATCGGAATTGAATAATTGTTATTGATCGATGTGCATGTCTCCCATCTTCGTCTATCGAATTCTTTCGATTCACTTGATGAAAAAGGGGGCGAACTCACGTCTAGTCTCATTATTATTCAACTTAGATAGTAGAACGTGGATGTGCGTGGGACTAAAAAGATTTAAAAAAGAAAAAGGAGGAAGACGAGATTCGATTTAATTAATTTAAAGAGAACGGGAAGATTTATATGAGCGAGGCCTTAGAGGAGTAGTCGTATCCGCCCAAAAAAAAAGATACTTTACTTAAAACTAGTACTGTACTGTACTCGAATATTTCACTACATTATATTGTACGATAGAGTATAATATAGACTTATTTAGTTTCATAGCTCTCCTCGGTAGAACGCTATTGTATTCAAAAAATTTAAACTAAATTCCTCGTCGAGTCCTTAGTGGGTAGGTCTCTCCGTGTGTGAGTGTACGTGCGACTATTTTTCCCAGGAACGCGGCGGCGACGGTCGCCGACGGTCGAACGCGGACGAGCCGCCGTGGGAGCAGATTATACTTTTCCGGTAGAGCTAGAGCGTCATTGTCCTCGTTAAGTAGGTCGTGGCTAGTAATCCCGAGGGTGGTTCCTTCGGTCCTATGTGCGTCAATTCGACGCGACGCGATGCGTTTTGCGTCGCGTCGCGTCGCGCCGGAGCCGCGCGTTCGAAATCGATGAAAGTGTCCTGAATGATTGCACCTACGAGGGGGTCACCGCACCCAGGGTTTGCGCTCAGCGAAACTCGCCAAGCGTTTTTACGAGCGCGTTAAACGATTCCGCCGATGACACACGCACACGCATGCACGACACGCCGCGTCTCGCCTACGTTTACTAAGACACGTGGTGTCTTATCACGTCAAACGCACCACCACTCAGCTCTCGCTCGCTTCTCTCATCGACCCTTCAAAAACTTGCTCGTTTCCGTCATATCGCTGGGCTAATTTGCCGAAGGAGAAGCTGAAGTCCGGTTCCACCGATGTAAGATTAACTTTAATCTCGGTTCAATTTATTACTCGTTATCTTGTTTTAATTCTAATGCCCGTTTCTACTAATGAGATTAACTTTAATCTCGGTTCATCTTACTCGTAATTCTTAGGCCCAGTTTCACAACTCACGGTTAACTCTTAACCGAGGTTCAATTTATTTCTCTTTCCAATTCTAGAATAGAACGTAGAACTAGAAAAAGATGAAGAGATAGTTAAACCGAGATTAATATTAAACTGTATTATATGTATAGTAGAAATGACCGGTATTAGAAAAAGATAAACGGTAAGTTAAACTGAGATTAAAATTAATCTTATTTAATTGGTGGAACTGGACCTAAGACGGACCTTTTACGTAAACCATTCACGGCAGACTATATAGGCGTAATCTGTGCTGCAATTAATTCAGGAAGTGATCAAAATACAAACATATAGGGGGCCAGTCTAGAGTCACCCGCGCCTAAAGAAATCAAAGATAGACTTATTAAAATTAATTTATATAAGCTGTAATTCTCCTCGTAACGTGTGGGTTCTTCCAGTAATTTAGTTCAGTAGAGCTCTCTCTCCACCCCCTTCTTCTCTCTTTGTTTTCCTTCGCGTTGTTTCGTTCTCACGAGCTGGGGAAAAAAATCCCCTTCTGATGTCTCTCTCTCGAGGATGTCCCTTGTACATAACGTGTCTTCTATTAGATACCCCCTGAAGGAACACTATTGCACTGAATTAAAGGTCGAGCCCCCCTACGTCTTTGTGCGCCAACAAGAGCCTGTTAAATGTCACACGCACGGAAAGATAAGAGCAAAATGTACTTATCTCGTTGTCATCGTCGTCTCCGCGACCTTCTTCTGAGATGCAATTCCACGCGGTTGCAACTCTGTCGCGATAACGACGAATGCCGATGAGCGTTTGGAATCATCAATTTCTAGATGTAATCTCAGCGTAACAATTCTCAGAGAGAGAGAAAGAGAAGGGAAAGAGATGTACACGGATGATAAGCAGAATCTTAAAATAATTTCCGAGAAACCGTCACTCTAATTAAATAAATAATCTGTGCTCTCTCGTTCGATAACTTACAACTATTCTTTGAATGTTTACCATCAAAAGTATTCTTCGAAGTGTTGATCTCATTGCAATATAGCTGTACTTATTATATATCCATGTATATATATATATGTATCTGGAATTGCCGGCCTATAACGATAAATGAAGATATACTACATTCCACGCGTTTTTCTCCGTGATACATGAGTTTCCAGTGTACGATATCCGAGATCGCGTAGAGTGCACTCGCTCTTCTCTTTCCACCATTTCTCCGCGCATCTCGTGTTCTCGACGACGCGACGCGACGGTGCGAGGGAGAACGGGTACGGCCCGAAATGCATCACTTATGCGAAGAAAATCGTAAGATTGTCGTAAGTCGACGTAATAGATGACGAAAGATAAGTAAAAGGAAAAAAAAAAGAAAAACACTCGCGGAAAAGACGAAAGAGGGCAAACGAATACACCAATTAGAACAAAGGAGAGTCTGTAGGTTCCGAGAAACGCATTCACGGCGGATTGAGTTATCACACGATCGATTCACTCATTATCATTATCGCGTTGATTAATGGCATCATATTAATTCACTCACTAACGGGCAATAAGATTATTCTACAAAGCACTGCCATAATTTGAACTGTTGTTACGTTGATTTTGGAATCCTGCCAAGTAATACCACTATTTGATATTGTCGAACGAACGGATCCTATCCTGCTAAGTGATGAATTAATATGCAAATGTCTCGCATGCTGCTGTCCAGTGTTTACTCCGCAATGTTTATCTTTGCAAAGCGAATATCGCTCTATATTCGTGAATGATTAATTTTGCGGCGCTTATTATATCTCCAGTTATCACTTTAAAACGATTTCCAATATTAATTTTCAATAACGCAATTTTTTTATTTTTTGTCTCCATAGATAGCTGAATTTATCAGAAATAGATTTCACAAAGTAATTTTCACCACAAATTTTATTGGCTGTCAGCGGAAATAAAATCTGCTAATGGAACATTGCATTACCAGCAGAAATTTCCTATTTCATAATCATTTAAACGATATTCCATTTAAATGATTTTCATTTAAATAGAATATGTTATGTATTTTTTTTTTTTGGAAATAATAAATTCTGCTCGGTTTCTGCTGACAATCTACCATCAAATTATATCGACAAAGACACTGCAGTGATGCCAAACTGGCAAACTGTTAGCATGTTAACACTCTTACTTGAAATGAAAGTAAATTATTATACTATTAAGTTGCATCGTCTCCGTGCTCCTTAACGCGTCAACGCACAATCGCGACAAACAATACCGAGAAATCTCCGTCAGCTATTGCAGCTATAAGTTTTCCTTCCAGTATGCGACGTCTTGATTTATTACTTGGTAAGGAAGGATCGGCTATAACGTAATGTAACGCGTTAGACTTTACGGAATAATTAATCATAAGAGATTAATATAGCATGTGGCTCTTCCGTTTCGTATAACTGCAAAAAAATGGGTTACCGTGGCGTGTACCTCGTTTCTCGACGCTGCACATTATTAAATGCGAACCGTAATGCGCATAAGGCGATAAGTTTAATCCTCGAGCAGTCGTAATTATCGGGTCGTTTTTAACTTATTACTACTCTACTTTCTTGGTGCATTTAATGACACGATGTTACAACTTCACGTGCGAAACAGAGATGGTGCAAAACGACGAAAAGCGAGAGATCCCAGTTTCCAGTATCAATATGAATATCAAGAGCGATATGAAATATTCTTCTAGTCTTGAAACATGACACTTCGAATAACTATTCGTTGTGTTTGTGTTATGAATCGCTTGAAGCATGCCCGATAAGCCCGCATATGCTTCGCGATAACGTAACTCGAGGATTAAATGAACGTGCTAAGCCAAGATTTTACACGTGGAGGAGACGATTTGGATTACGCGTCCGGCTCCTCCGATTAGCGACCGATAGCTCGGCGTCGTAGCACATAAATATGATGAACGAAGAACGAAGGAATAAACGCCACGAGGATCCCTTCCAACCGCGGTGACTTGTTGGCGTACGACATTAGGATAGGTTCCTCGTAACCTACCTCGTCTCTCTTGTTACGCCTACTGCTACACTGTTATTGTTGATGAAAACTCCATATTAATAAGAAATAAATATATTATCTCAAAGCGTAGTTATATAATATATATGTACACACACATCTCATCCTCGTTTTAATTTTGTTAGATAACGAATAGTGTTAAGAGTGATTGCGAAAAATGAAAGCATTCCAAGCAGAAGAACAAATCATTATGATATCAAAATGGTGTCAAAATGACTCCAAAATGATAATTAAAAGTCATTTTTCAATCATTTCCGATTTATTTTAATATCATTTTGACATTTTCGTGACTTGTTCCTCTGCTTGGAATATTCTCAATTTCCTCTAAATTTAACAACCAAATTTTCTCTTATCTTTTATCTATAAATGTACAATATTTGACTAATAAGTATATAATAATAAATCGGCCAATAATGAATTTTCTACAAATAATTCAAATAATACATACACGTAATTATTACACGATATCACTCATACATGATTATTATCTATTCTAGGTTTTTCGTGCGTTCACTATTAGTACTTTGTATGTGTCCATCGTCAGCGATTTATCATTATGCGTGTATTTTCCTTTCGTCATTTTTACGTATTCGCCTATAAACTCCTTCTTGAAGTTCTTCGCTCGATCAGATGGCATGTCGTACATAAATGAAAAATCAGACATAATAATGAATGCTAAAATCACGAAAAGAGGAGTAATGAAATTAATGTGAATTTATATTTTCTTCAATTAAGGCAAAAAATTTATGTCGTAAACGACACAAATTCACAATTTCATGCCTGTTTCTATCAGTATAGATTAACTTTAATCTTGGTTTAACTTACTCTCTCTTCATCTTTTTTTAATTCTTAGAATTAAAAAAAGGTAAGATAGTTAAAGATTAAATTGGCCTACATTGGTAAAAACGGGCATGAAAATACTTACGCAATGTATCGCAAAGACTATCGATGTTCACATTCTGGGTATTGCAGTAGTAAACCGTAAATCCGATGCTCCGAAGTAATTCTTTTAACACTATGTGAGGCGTGTCCGTATCTAGAAACGGCACGTTGTATTTCTTCATGTCCCACGTGAAAACAAAGCGTAACGATTAGCAACTCAGAAAAGTTATAACTGTAAAATAGCTTTAAACAGCGATACTCACGTACAAATACGATGCAAAGCGCTTGTTCTCTACCATAATTTCAATAATTTTAAACATTTCGTGAGAAAATACCCATACCATACAGAAAGTCCCGCCAGGTCGAAGTATATTGTAAATGTTCTCAAATCCCTGTCTGCCAGCAGAGAAACGTGATTATTTCCTAGAATCTGCAATCTATATTACATTCTCGAGCAATGGTATTAAGTCAACATGTGAAACTCGAATCAGTTTTACTTTCGAAATGAGTTTTATCGCGTTACGGAAGTAGGGAAATACTTCGAAGGATTATCTCGTGCAAGTTTTATAACACTTGATTGTCATGATAATAAAATCAAGATGACTCGTCAAATCTTAGATGTCATCTAAAACTTTATATAACGTCTTGATGAAAAGTTTCAGAATGATTTCAACCAAACTTCGATTAACTTAATTAGTACTGTTTTTTAAAATAATACAAACAAAAGTAAATTATTTAATTATTACAATTAATTAATAGAATTATGTTTAACGTTTCGAAAAAAAAATAACAACGAATATTAGAAATTTTGTCTTGAGATCAAGTTAGCCGCTGATTATATAAGTTAATAAGAGTTTGGGGTCGAAGTCATATCCTAATAACTCTTATCAAGAGTTCATGTATATATAAATGGTGGTCAAGATAATATTATCTTGATTTTACCATGATAATCACATGTTACTTGGGTACGAGATGAAAAGTTCCTTACCGGATATCATTGCAAAAATCCAAAACAGGAAACGAATACACGACGTCGAACTCGGCGATGTATTTCTCGGGCAAATCTTTTATCTGAATGTCCAATGTCTCGAATTTGAACACCTCGTCGATAGCAAACGCCCTATTCGCATACTCGACGATCTTTTCGGAAATGTCCGTACCTTTGTGTACAATTCATTAATGCCCATTTCCACCAATGTAGATTAACTTTTAATCTCGGTTCAACTTACTCTTCGTCTTTTTCTAACCTTTAGAACTAGAAAAAGACAAGGAGTTAGTTGAACCGAGATTAAAGTTAATTTGCGTTGGTGGAAACGGGCATAAGTGTGATAATTAACCGAGTCACCTATACTCTCTAAAACTTTTAGAGTGAATTTCACTCTTAAAGATTAAAAATTGAGTTACTCCTTTTCAAGACTGACAATTTTCACTCTTTAAGAGCGAAATTCTACGCCGAAGAATTCAGAGAGTACGATTTTGTCACCCTTGTCCTTCTCTTCTCGCCTATCATCACTGCACCTTGATGAAGAGTCGACAGGAGGAAGTTCCTTGCTACCTCCCCGTAAGCGGATGTTTATACATTTCCCTGATACGTAATTCAATTGACACAATTTAAAGTTTCGGAGGAAATGATTCACATGGCGTTTCTGCATATGACAGTACATGAACGGATTCATTACAGTTTTAAAGAACTAGAAGGAACTGCAATGACACACACATATATAATATATAAATTGCAAAATTCCTCTAATCTAGGCCTGTAATGCCCATTTCCATCAATGTATAGATAACTAATTTATTTCGGTTCTAAGAAAAAGATGAAGAGTATAATAAAGAGCGATTAAAAGTTAGACTCTACATTGGGTGAAACGGACATGCACACTACACAAATAGAATTAATGATCAAGTCCAGATTCCGGAAAACGTAAAAATGTAATGTGGATCGAGGATCGCGAGGAGATTTATGTGGAGGATTTGAAAGAGATTTTGCGAAACGTACGATGCTATTTAAAAAAAAATACTGCCTTTTGAAATCAGCCGATTCCCTCATTTGAATATTTGTATATTGACGAGAGTAGGGGAGCTATCAGAATATATTACTTATTTGTGTGCAAAAAAACGAGAAGACGTCAAGTTTTATTGCGATTATTCTCTATAGTACAATAAATCAAACCGCAGAGTCCTGTATCCGACTGTAATTGTATCAGACTAGTATTTAATTTATTCTGGAGATTGTTGAAATATGTCTTATTAATTATTAATATAATACGATCGATATTCTATATACAAAATATGACAATTCGCAGAATGATACATCGAAAACGGACTGCTTTCTCAATTTGAAAAAAAACTTATATGAGGTATCGTGAAGAAGTTCCCCAGATAGCACGGAAAGAATTCTTTTTATTCCCGATTTACGAAACGAATTCCTGTTTTGTTTCATTTCTATTCTGACTGTATTTCTAAGATCCGATCGTGAATGAATTTCATTGGTAACCTTTAATCTTTAGGTAACCATATATTGTGAAAATGGGCCTAAGGCTGGTATTCGTAGTCGAGTCTTATTTCAAGACCATCTCAAGTAATATCTTAAGACGCTAATGCAGCCTTCTGATTGATTCGTGACTTTTTAAGACCGTACTTAAGACGATCTTGAATATAAGATCTGACTATGAATACTGGTCTAACAGTTCCAAAAGATTTCACTTTTACGTCACCAATTATGAGCTCTTCTTTCAGATTCAAAAAGTACTTACATTCTTTTTCTAGTCTTTTTCTATTTCTTAATTTTGTATAAGAATAAATCATACTTTGATAATTATGCAAATTAAATATTATTTTTATTAAGAGTAACATATACAAATAGATGTATTTGTATACATATATTTTTGATCGAATTCATTTCGAACAGATTACTCTAACTCATAAAAAATTTAAGAAGGTGAGTACACTTCGAGTTAAAAAATGGATCAGATGTGCTATCTGGGTTTTTAGTTCACTTTATAAATAATTTCCTTTTCTAATAGTTAAGTTTTTTAATAGTTGAGAATAGTAAAAAATCGTAAATTACAGACAAACTGTATAAAATCAATTAGACTAAAAATGTGCAAATAAATTGTAAAATAATTGTTAGATGTCTCTCTCTCTCTCTCACTCTCTCTCTCTCTCTCTCTCTCTCTCTCTCTCTCTCTCAGAATAATATTGTGACGAGGGAAAAATATCTTGTTTTCAGCAATTTTAAAAAAATTTAATTAATATATACTCAGGTAACATTCGATTAGCAACGCTCGATAAAATGAAGATAACGTAATTTTGATTGAGACTTAGTACGGAATTCATAGATGTTGCTCAAGACTCGAGATGGTCTTAAGCTAGTACTTGAACCAATCAGAGAGCCGTATTAGCATCTTAAGACATTGCTTGAGATTAAGACCGGACTATGGATTCCGGTCCCTTAATGAAAGTTTTTTTGAATTTTGACATATATTATACATGTTAATTGAGTTACTTGGACAATGGTGGAAACTAAATTTCGTTATATTGGAAGAAATGTCAAGGATAGTTTACACGAAAAATGATTGCTTAATTTGAAAATTCATAAAAAAAAAGTTGCTTAATTCGATTTAATATCATTAATAAAAGAATAATGTTAAATTGTTAATATTGTTATTAGAAATATCTTATCGGTTTAATAGAAATATATCGTTTTATTCTCTCGTCCGATTTTCCAAGAGGGATATTATATATGTAGTACATGGCGAATAATTCGAGCTGTATCGATAATTCTTTTTCTTTAATACACAGAGTGTTCAATGAAGACGTTATTAGAATTTTTGTTTCAAAATAATTTCAAGAATCTATCTTTAAGGGGATCCTAAAGACGATTAGTTGCATATTATAAAATATGCACTTACACAAACGACTTACGTATCATCGACACATCACTATACATACTACTACATCAATATCTTACGCACCACATAAATTTTCATATAACAATAACGTTTTAATTAGACGTTTAAGTCCAATTTTAAGAATTCTACGTTGTTTTTTCATGCAAATTACTAATCTGTGGACTACTATTTCGTAAATACAAATTGCACAGCTTTTATATGAAGCAAATGTTGTCACGATGTAACAGCTCCGGAGCGTCATATTGGACTAAGAAATGGTAAAGACATCGATCAATTTCGAAATTTTTTGCCGTTTTGCAGCATAAATTCTACCTCACAAACATGTACTATTAATGCGTATAGTTTAATTCTGGAAAAGGATTTTCGAATCAGTAAAAGGGGGAAAAAGTAATTGTTATACAAAAATTATGTGTCGTATTACCAGTTGTCACGTTCTAGACTTGAGGGAGCATCGCGGGGACGGAGGACGCGGAACATCGAGCTCCTTTTAAATCAGATAAATCGGTGAGAAAGGAGATACGAGAATCGGGGCCGGGCAGAAACTGAGATTCCTTGGTTTGGGAGTCGCCTTTACGCGACAGGATTATCTCTTTCAATATGTATATATTTATATAAAAAAATAAAAAAAAGAAAAAGAATTAACTACACTGAAAAAGAGAGTGGCTGCTGCAGCAAATTAGATGGTAAAATATGGCATAGCATTTTTAATTGGCTGCAACAGCCAAGTTTTGGTTGCTACAGCCAATTTTTGGTTGTGTTAGCCTATCCGTAATGTCAATATAGGATTTCAATTGACTGCAGCCAATCTTTTCTTTCAGTGTATAGCATGATGCGATCAGCGCCTTTATTATATAAAAAAAAACAAATAAAATAAAAGCAGAGGCATGAGTCAGGCAGAGTGAACGCGATTGCGGAGGCGGCACTACCCTTATAACGCGAGTCACAGAAGTTCCCTAATTCGCGGAAGGGCTCAGTAATTTGACCGCGACGGCAAAAGATCCTGATAGTTACCCGGTACCGAGTGGTATTCGGGACGATTCTGAATACACTGGGGGTCGAAAAACACGCGCGAGTCGAAGTTTATCACCCTGTGGTATTCACGCACTAGTGCGTGCAACGCCTGCTTCCGACTGACCCGCCGAACCCAACCCAGAATCCACCCCTGCGAACATATTCTCTAAGGCAGTCTAAGATATTACTCTACTTCGCTGAGTGGGAGTGCACTAATCGACGACGGTATTTAACTGAACGCAGAGATCGCGAAGTCCTACGCTAACCACAATACAGTGGTGGAGTAAGGGAAGAGAAAAACCAGAGCATCCCCTGGTTCCGATTATTTTTTTTGCGGAACATATATAAGGTCTGTTCTTTTTCGTTGAACTTTTGTACTAGTTCATCTTTCTTCTACTTCTTTCCTCCTGAAGATAAAAGGAAAAAAGATGAACTGATGCAAAAGTTCAGTTAAAAAGAACAAGCCTATAATTGAGACAATAGAGAATAATATAGACGACTTTAGGATCCTCTTACAACTTATTCCACAAATGTGCTTTTTGCGTCCTGTTTCTTGCATTTTGCTATTTTTTTAATTTTTATCCCATTTTTCGTTTTCTATTGTACGAGATGAAAGTCAACAAACTTTGGAAGAAACAATTAGTAACACGTAGCTAGACATACAATTCTTGATCGCAAAAAGGGAGAAATCAAGAAACAGGAAACAAAAAAACAATAGATTTAAACGTTATTACAAGTGAACACTCTGTATACATTTATATGTAAAACAGCGTATAATATACACCTATAAGCGAACAAACACCGAATAAACCGCGATCGCGAACATTCATTGACTGTGTTCAGAAGTGGCGTTTTTTCGTTTTTCAACCAGAAGCAACCACGGCTAATGCCCAATTTCTTCACCTCTAGATAACTTTATCCAGGAGATATCTTCCAGAATACAATGGAGATATCTCCTAGATAAGGGGTGCTTTCCAGCAAGGACACAATCAAACATAGTGTAACACAGTGAATCGTTTCATCCTTGTTTAACGTAAGCAAACAACAAGGACGTATGATTCACTGTGTTACACTGTGTCTGACTGTGTCCCTTGCTGGAAAGCACCCAAGGTTATCCGCAACTTATCTGGAAGGGAAGAAATTGGGCATAAGGCTATCTTCGTCTTTTGATTTCTGAAGACGAAGATAGCCTTAGCTGTGGTAGTTTCTGGTTAGATAACGAAAAAACACCCCAGATATAAATACCAAGCGAATTAAAATCGAACATTCGATTCGCGTTTGACTTGCTTTCCTCATGAAGCGATACATCAAAGACAATTCGCGATGTAAACATGCAAAGCACGTGTTCGCTGTTTGATTGTTCGTCTGAATCACCCCATAACTTTTTTTATATACTACATATGTTATATCTGTGTCGTAAAATTATTGAAAACTCCTCTTTAAATGAAGACTATATACTTACTAAACTAATTTTATATGTTTACTGCACAATGTAATTACGTCACTTTTAATTTTTTTACAAGTAAGGGGCTCCGCACAATAAAAGGAACAGGGAACAGAGAACAAAGAATAAGAATTTCAACCTATTAGAAATCATGTATTGTGAAATACACACGGCGTATTCCACAATACATGATTTCTGATAGGTTGAAATTCTTATTCTCTGTTCTCTGTTCCCTATTCCTTTTAATGTGTGGGGGCCCTTAAAAGTATCAGTCTCAAGCGAGGTTACAGCGATAGCGACTCAAGATCGAATGAACATTCGGCCCGTATTTGACGCGATTGTTCGAGAAAAAGGTACCAATATCTATGAATCTGGAAATCGATCGTGTGACTTTCCCTAGGGCGGAAACGTGAAAAGTGAAAAATTTTTCGCTTGTATGTGTACGTGTATAATCAGATCCTAAGAGGTTGCAACCCTTTTTTTCGATGGGTTTTAGAATGCAGCCTATTCACCGGGCAATTGGTTTTTATTTGTCGATCCATGAATAAGAACCAAACGCTCGTGAGTAAGCTGCATTCTGAAACTCATTTAAAAAAAAGGTGTTGCAACTTTTTAGGCCCTGACTATAGGCCTCTTTTTGGCTGAATTTTTGCATCAGTTCATCTTTCTTCCTTCTCTCTCCAGGAAGAAAGAAGAGGAAGAAAGATGAACTGATGCAAAAGTTCAGCCAAAAAAGCAAGCCCTATATGTATATGTTTATACACTGTTAGAAATGTAACCATGAGCTTCCTTTACATGTAAATGAAGCTCGTGGTTATGAACGAAATTAAAAGTAATGAATGATTTAATTGAAAATTAAGTTACAGTAGTTACTTAAATCTAATGAACATGTACATTAAATTTATGAAGTGTAATGTACTTTTCAGTTATACAATTTTATGAAAAGTACATTAAATTTCATGTACATGTATACAAATATACTTTTTAGTTGTAAATACATTAAATTTAATGTAATGTCATGAAATTAAGTTCAAATTGTGTGTGTAACTTAAAAGTATATTAAAATTATATTTCATGAAATTTTTAACAGTGTATAATACATATAACATAAAAATTTTCACGTTTCTGCTCTAGAGAAAAATTATATGATCGATACCCCCCCCTACAGCACAAAAGTTGCAGCAACAATGCTGCAGCATTGCAACAATATTGCATGTTGCAGCAATATTGCAGCGTTATTGCAGCAGTATTGCTGCAAATTCTGTACCTATTCTTGAAAAGTATCGCATACAAAAAACTAGAGAAATGCTATAGTATATGTAACGCATACTATAGTATTTCCCTAGTTTTTCGTATGCAATACTTTTCGAGAATAAAAACACGGCCAGGGGCTCTATTCTTGAAAAGAAACGTATGCGAAAGTCTAGGGAAATGCTACAGTATACGTTACGTATATTATAGTATTTCCCTAGAATATTTCATATACGTTTCTTTTCAAGAATAGAACCCCTGTCCCTGAACGTCCGAACGTTCGCGTTCGCTGTTCATTCGCTACCCAATCAGCACACAATATTTAAAAAAACATTTTTTAAACATTTATTTAATATTTTTACATTAAATAAATATTTAAAAAATATTTTTTAAGTATTTTTTAAATATTATGTGCTGATTATTGAGTAGTGTATATACGCGGCTTAATAGACATTATCCACTTAAGGTACAAATCCATGCAGCGGAATAACATAATGCGGAACGAGAGCGGAACCAATCTTAAGCTCATTCCGCTGCGGAATTTTGGGACACCCTGTATTATAAAATATAAATTGTTGTACCGACTGAAATTATCATGTAAACTGTTCTCTGGGTTTTGACTTCGACCAAACGAGGGCGACACGCTCAAAATTGAATCGCCTGTACTCCAAGAATTGCCAGAATAATTTCATTTCTTTGTCAGCAATCTCTTATCATCATCTATCGCATTAAATTCGCCTCGATAGCTATTCGATGCGAATAAAACGGTGACGATAATCCACGTGACTTAAAACGACATAAATTTCAAAATAATTCTTTTAACCTTTTCACGGGAGATCATTATTTTTCCTCATTAATTTTTCCCATCGATCACGATGAACATGTCATAAATAATGGTCGGTGGCATTTTATGGATATATTTTGGTTCTTCGGTAACGCAGCATCGCGCTCGCCGTCTTCCTCTCATTTCTAATAAAAAATTCCGTTTCATTTGCCGCGGATATACCCGCGAGGAAATCGCCGCGATTAATCGACGGTATCTCGCGCCGTCCCATCGAACGGTCAACCAATTCGGCTTCTCCAGACTCCGGATGCGGAACAGCTGACTCGGCTAAGCGCGCGGCGAAGAAGTACCGTTCGCTTGATTACGCGCGAGATCGAGGCGAGCCGGCGCGGCGGGCTGCGAGCGGGCAAAATTTGCAAGTCATTCGAGTCATCTACGGTCACGATTGCTGTTTCACGGTCGGATCCGTCGCTCGGGGCGGACGGGGACGCGCGCGGAATTTTTCCCTCGTTGTTGTATCTATATAGGATGAGAGGACGGAATGTACCGTCGTCATTTCTGTGAAATCGGCCATATCTCGTTTGAAAGTTCCCACCTGAGGAACACGCAAGTCAACAGAAATTCAAAATGACCTTATTCTGATTCTTAACGTTAATAAACAGTCCAATTTTGTAACAAAAAATGATTATTTTAACTTTTATGACGTCAAAATAAAGTCATTTTGACTTTCTCTTGACTTGGTGTTCCTTCGGTTACGGCATGACGCGGAAAATTCGTTCGGAGTGTATCGGTCATATAATTTTTTCTCAAAAACAAAATGTGAAAAGTGAAAATTTTGGTGTACGTATGTACGTAGATACATATAATATATACAAAAATATTTTCACTTTTCACGTTTCCGTCCTAGAGAAAAAATTAATCACATGATTGATTCTCAAATGTAACATCTGTGCTTGTTACCTAGAATCACGTTAGCTGCATTCAGCAGAAAAAGCAGCTTTATGACTATTGTAAAATTAATTTTTTAATATAATTAATCTTTGTTTTTAATTCTTCACTTGATCTAATTGTAATAAAACAAACGTATTAAATGTTACAGTAATTGCAAAGCAGCAGCTTTTTCTGCTGATTGCAGCCGTTTCTTCCGATTTTTACTTCTGTTGAAAGGGTCTAGCAAATCGATTATAGTATATTCTGAGACGAGATGAAAATCACAATAAACAAATTTATTAATTTCAAGATACATAATCTAATTTCCAAGAAGTCAATTAATTATCGTGTATCTTGAAACGAGATGAAGGAATGAGAGAGAGAAAGAGAGGGGAGGAGGAGAGAGGGAGGGGGAGGGAGAGGGTGGGAGAGAGAGGGGGGGGGAAGAGAGAGAATTACAAAAGTGAGCGAATTTAGCAGAATATTTATAATTCCATTGTAAACACCTACTGAATAATTTGCTCACTTTGTAATTTTCACTTTATTATAAAAACACACAATCGCAAGCTCCGGACAGTTGGAACTTCTTTGTCCTATAACAATAAGATAAAAAATCTATAAGATTCCAAGGAGATTTCGAGATCGCGAAATACATTCGCGGACGGAGTTCGCGTCTTCGACGGATTTCCCGGAGTCTCCTCTCCGACGCGAAACGAGTCCGCGAGCATTTAATTTCACGGAATCGGACAGAGAGACTCCCCCGATTTCCGTGTCGCACTCGCTGAAATCTCGGGGAAGAACCGGCGCGGTCGCTGAAAACCATCCTTAATTCTCTGCGCCGCTGATTTCTCTTATTACTTATTAATTACTCTTAAACGCGCCACGCGCCTCACCGTCCATCGCGCGATTCATCGGCCGTATATATATTTATTACCGAGTCACCG